GTATCATTTAGACAGGTAATGACACATGTATCACTATAGACAGGTAATGAGATGTATCACTATATACAGTTAATGACACATGTATCACTAAAGACAGGTAATGACACATGTATCATATAGACAGGTAATAACACATATGTATCACTAAAGACAGGAAATGACACACATTTTTCACTAAAGACAGGTAATGACACATGTATCATATAGACAGGTAATGACATGTATCACTATATACAGGTAATGACACATATGTATCACTATAGAAAGGAAATGACACATGTATCACTAAAGACAGGCTATGACATATATGTATCACTATACACAGGAAATGTCACATATGTATCACTATAGGCATGTAATGACACATATGTATCACTATAGACAGGTAATGACACACGTATTACTATAAACAGGTAATGTCATATGTATCACTATAGAGAGGTAATGACACATATGTGTCACTAAAGACAGGTAATGACACATGTATCATATAGACAGGTAATAACACATATGTATCACTAAAGACAGGAAATGACACACATTTTTCACTAAAGACAGGTAATGACACATGTATCATATAGACAGGTAATGACATGTATCACTATATACAGGTAATGACACATATGTATCACTATAGAAAGGAAATGACACATGTATCACTAAAGACAGGCTATGACATATATGTATCACTATACAAAGGAAATGTCACATATGTATCACTATAGGCATGTAATGACACATATGTATCACTATAGACAGGTAATGACACACGTATTACTATAAACAGGTAATGTCATATGTATCACTATAGAGAGGTAATGACACATATGTGTCACTAAAGACAGGTAATGACACATGTATCACTGTAGGCAGGTAATGACATGTATCACTATAGACATGACACATGTATCACTTTAGACAGGATATGACTTATGCATCACTACAGACAGGTAATGACACATATGTGTCACTATAGTAATGTCACATGTATCACTATAAACAGGTAATGACACATGTATCACTATAAACAGGTAATGTCATATGTATCACTGTAGACAGGTAATGACACATATGTATCACTAAAGACAGGTAATGACAAATGTATCACTATAGACAGGTAATGACACATGTATCATATAGCCAGGTAATGACACATGTATCATATAGACAGGTAATGACACAGGTATCACTATGGACAGGTGAAGACACATGTATCACTATAGACAGGTAATGACACATGTATCACTATAGACAGGTAATGACACAGGTATCACTATGGACAGGTAATGACACATGTATCATATAGAGAGGTAATGACACAGGTATCACTATGGACAGGTAAAGACACAGGTATCACTATGGACAGGTAATGACACAGGTATCACTATGGACAGGTAATGACACATGTGTCATATAGAGAGGTAATGACACAGGTATCACTATGGACAGGTAATGACACATGTATCATATAGAGAGGTAATGACACATGTATCACTATGGACAGGTTATGACATATATGTATCACTATACACAGGAAATGACACATATGTATCACTATAGACAGGTAATGACACATGTATTACTATAAACAGGTAATGTCATATGTATCACTATAGAGAGGTAATGACACATATGTGTCACTAAAGACAGGTAATGACACATGTATCACTGTAGGCAGGTAATGACATGTATCACTATAGATATGACACATGTATCACTTTAGACAGGATATGACTTATGTATCACTACAGACAGGTAATGACACATATGTGTCACTATAGTAATGTCACATGTATCACTATAAACAGGTAATGACACATGTATCACTATAAACAGGTAATGTCATATGTATCACTATAGACAGGTAATGACACATATGTATCACTAAAGACAGGCAATGACACATGTATCACTATAGACAGGCAATGACACATGTATCACTATAGACAGGTAATGACACATGTATCATATAGACAGGTAATGACACAGGTATCACTATGGACAGGTGAAGACACATGTATCACTATAGACAGGTAATGACACATGTATCACTATAGACAGGTAATGACACAGGTATCACTATGGACAGGTAATGACACATGTATCATATAGACAGGTAATGACACAGGTATCACTATGAACAGGTAATGACACATGTATCATATAGAGAGGTAATGACACAGGTATCACTATGGACAGGTAATGACACATGTATCATATAGAGAGGTAATGACACAGGTATCACTATGGACAGGTGAAGACACAGGTATCACTACAGACAGGTAATGACACAGGTATCACTATGGACAGGTAATGACACATGTATCATATAGAGAGGTAATGACACATGTATCACTATGGACAGGTGAAGACACAGGTATCACTACAGACAGGTAATGACACAGGTATCACTATGGACAGGTGAAGACACATGTATCATATAGAGAGGTAATGACACATGTATCACTATGGACAGGTGAAGACACATGTATCACTATAGACAGGTAATGACACATGTATCACTATAGACAGGTAATGACACAGGTATCACTATGGACAGGTAATGACACATGTATCATATAGAGAGGTAATGACACATGTATCACTATGGACAGGTGAAGACACAGGTATCACTACAGACAGGTAATGACACATGTATCACTAAAGACAGGTGAAGACACAGGTATCACTACAGACAGGTAATGACACAGGTATCACTATGGACAGGTAATGACACATGTATCATATAGAGAGGTAATGACACAGGTATCACTACAGACAGGTAATGACACAGGTATCACTACAGACAGGTAATGACACATGTATCACTATGGACAGGTGAAGACACAGGTATCACTACAGACAGGTAATGACACATGTATCACTATGGACAGGTGAAGACACAGGTATCACTACAGACAGGTAATGACACAGGTATAACTATGGACAGGTAATGACGCATGTATTATAGAGAGAGGTAATGACACAGGTATCACTACAGACAGGTAATGACACAGGTATCACTACAGACAGGTAATGACACATGTATCACTATGGACAGGTGAAGACACAGGTATCACTACAGACAGGTAATGACACAGGTATCACTATGGACGGGTAATGACACATGTATCATATAGAGAGGTAATGACACAGGTATCACTACAGACAGGTAATGACACAGGTACCACTACAGACAGGTAATGACACAGGTATCACTATGGACAGGTAATGACACATGTTTCATATAGAGAGGTAATGACACATGTATCACTATGGACAGGTGAATCACAGGTATCACTACAGACAGGTAATGACACAGGTATCACTATGGACAGGTGAAGACACAGGTATCACTACAGACAGGTAATGACACAGGTATCACTATGGACAGGTGAAGACACAGGTATCACTATGGACAGGTAATGACACAGGTATCACTATGGACAGGTGAAGACACAGGTATCACTACAGACAGGTAATGACACAGGTATCACTATGGACAGGTGAAGACACAGGTATCACTACAGACAGGTAATGACACAGGTATCACTATGGACAGGTGAAGACACAGGTATCACTACAGACAGGTAATGACACAGGTATCACTATGGACAGGTGAAGACACATATCTGTATTTCTGTCATATTATCTTACATAGGCATGATCATCTGATTGCTTTTCGCGTGATATAACAAAAACACTGATTTTTGTTTGTTTGGTTTTAATTTATCAGTTCACCAAAGCGGGCAGTCGATCTGCTTTGTCATATTTTGACATCACAATTTCTGACTGGCGCACTCAATGAAAATAAAAGGAGATCGCAATAGGTCATCACTTCGGTCTGATGACCTAAAAACGCACCAGAGTATAGAACACAAGTGACACATACCTGTACATGTGTGTAGAATCAGTACACGTGCGAATTCATTTGTTAACAGGCAGATTATGTTTTGAACTAGTCTTTGTATTGATACCATAGTTGAGATTTAAAAAATTAAAAAAAGAAAAGATATAAAAAGAAATAACGTTTTATTTCCTGATCTGGTCTGGCACTCCCATCCAGGATCATTTCAGTAAAAGTTGTGTTATTTAAAAACATATAGAAACACTTTAATTTGTCCATTTATATTTCTTTTCAATGCCAAATTCATTAGACGATAAATGCACTTTATATCGTGGTATGATTGTACGATCACTGACCCTAGAAATAAACCTTTTCAAGTCTAAAACTTAAAAGTGAACGATGACTTTTGCGTTTAATCAATTACAGTCAGATTTCTATATCAAAACTTAAATAACACGGAGGGCAGGAGGTTTACAAGTTATAAACGAAAATCTGTTCATTCAAGCATGGAATTTTAGTTATTCATATCATCGTTTTTCGTCTTTCAACTAGGGCGGGGCCTCGTCTTTCAAATACATTTAGTTTATTGAAGCAGGTGAGCGATAAAGGCCCTATGGACCTCTTAGTTATGAAAATAATAAAATATCCCGAGCAAAGAAAGATTTCTTTTCCTTCCAAAAAGAAGTTACATTTTATCGGCACAACGAATATTTACTTCTTTTTTTAGAAATATGATGTCCGTTCGAATGTATGATTGTAATCTATACATCTAAACCCTCCTTGGAAAGTAGGGCGGGGCCTCGTCTTTCAAATACATTTAGTTTATTGAAGCAGGTGAGCGATAAAGGCCCTATGGACCTCTTAGTTATGAAAATAATAAAATATCCCGAGCAAAGAAAGATTTCTTTTCCTTCCAAAAAGAAGTTACATTTTATCGGCACAACGAATATTTACTTCATTTTTTTAGAAATATGATGTCCGTTCGAATGTCATTCAGCATGTTGTGCAATTTTGTTAGTACACACCATAGCTTTTCCTGCTGTGGATTTACCTTTGTTGTATCTTTTTAATTGTAAGATTGGTTGGAAATTGAAAATAATATTTTTTCCGGAACTTTAATCCGGTACCGATGTCTATTTTACGCGAAAAGCAAGATGGCGTCGCTTGTGAAGTCGACACGAGGTGACGATAGTTTTCTAACGTTATTATTTGTCTTAAAAATTCTTCAATGGTGGTATTATATTATTATTGATATGTTTTGGTCAAAACCAACTCCAACTATCTTAAATTTGACTGCACGCAAATTATACTGGTTCGAATGTTGTCTGTCCTTCCTACTACTTGTCAAGTTCATATTCTTGCGCAGCATTTGGTGAAATGTTTTGAGAGTGTACGCTTGCTAGCCTATATTGTTACTACTCGTCTGCACACAGTGTCTCATTTAATTGTAAAGTTTGATCTCTTTTCGGCTCTAGTCTCACATTCCCTTAGACTTATCGATTGTATGTTGAAAAATCCGGATTTCTGCAGGTTCGTAAATTACATGTCAATTTTACCAAATGTCTGTGAAAACAGACGTATGGTATTTATTTAGGGCTCTGGTGAAAAGAATGCTACCCTGATGGACAAAAAGTCTTTTTTTCCTCTCCCGTGATTTGTTAATAATATGAAAGAAACAACTCTACTTTTGAATATATCGTTAAAGCTGTTCATAACTACTCATTTGTTTTTACATTCAAACTACACAATGTATTCAAAAGTACTTAAGTTAATGTATGTTATCTGAATAGATTTAAGTTATTATTTTGATAACCATCCATTAAGTTATCCTACATATAATTATAAATTATCTAAAGAAAAAAAATACACCTGTATTTTACGATTGTTCCACAATACATAATCATATCAAGTCTTGACTCTGGCCCTGATACAACTTTACCTCTTGAGTCTATTTTAACAGATTGGGACTTTGAACACTTTCAGAAAGTTGAGACTGTCAAAATTTTTCAAGACTTTTTTTTTGTTAAAACCTTGTGGTGCCTTATTTTCATATCATACATACCACACTTTCAGTAAGTGGCAAAATTTTCCATATTTTCAACCCAGATTTTGTCTTGCAATGTGCAATCTCCTGTAGTTTATAATTTCCTCTCAGATTTATTTGTTGCCATATTTGTGTCACAAAACATATTTTTTCATGATATTTGGGGATAATTTTTAACCATTCATAAATTACTTGAAATTGCAGTTGTTAATCAAGTCATTTCTACTCATTTTATCAACTGTATGTGACTGTCCTGTATTTTTGTCCCCCTGGAGTTGGCTTAATTAAAATACTGACTGAAGGAATATCTGAACATTTAAATCTTGTTTTCTCCATATGTCAGATGTTGATTGATTTTACAGTGTGTCTGGCCCCGGTATGTCGTACATGGTCACAGCAAGTTCGAATGAAGCATAAGTTTAACAGTAAAAAACCTTGGAAAAATCATCGCTCCCACAAGTACAGGATATTCCAGGCAGTGACACAACCATTGTATGTACATGAAGATTATCCAGTGCAAACATGCCCTCGTTTGGAGAGGAAAAAAAACCTTCAGGAGGTAGGTACATGTGTGTCTATATATAAGCTCACACAGTTAAGCCCACTACAAAGTGTCTTACTGATCAAATTTGTCTGTAGCCATTCCTCATCCATAATTATCAGATGAATAATTACTGAAGATGATAAATACTTACAGGACATAGAAACATATTTGGTAGCCAGACTTCATATCATCTTGAGACAATGCTGTATTATTAGCTCAATGAACACTTGCAACAATTTGAATTATAGTTTATACAATTCTATATTATTAATTAAAGTTGAATTTATTATTAGTTCACATAAGATTAATGAATCCCTTATTTTTTAAACCAATTATAGTCCAGACGACTGAGGGATGCCAACAACAACAAAAAAATTGTGTCAGCTTGCTAGAATTATCTAGAATAATAGCACTAATACCAAATCTTTTACAATAACTTTTGATTATGTTGTGGTATCCAGAATTGTACATAACATCAACAGTCTACTTTGTCTTATAGAATGCTGATGATGCGATGTCGCCTGCCGAGGAATTCATCTATAGGGGATGTGAGCATATGTTTCAAGAGAACAAGATGATTATAGTGTGTCAGGTGCTGCCCTGTCCTGCTGTTGAGGTAGCCAAGGCCAAAGGATTACTTTTAAAATTTGGACTGAAACTCAAAGTCTACAGCAACAAATATGCAAGGTTTGTGAATAGTGAATATATATAGTATCATGCATTGATATGTGTTTTATAGACAAAGAATTTGCAAATCAGAAGGAAGGAACTTGACAGCGTAGAATAAGGCTTGTCAACACACTTTTGACATTTTTAGGGATACAATGTGATGGCCTGATAATCGCTTGTCTGCTGATTATTGCTTTTCCAATTGCACTGATCAATTTTGACTGAGCCAAACCAGTTATCATTAAAACATATGTGAACATGCCTTCCATGTTTTTCCATTCAAATATGCACCAGGAGGTCAACATAATCATGATGATACTTGTCAGTATAAAGTATACAACAAGCTGAAACACTATCCATACCGGTACACCTGGTTGTGTACAGAAATTTCCTACTGGTACATGTGGTTATGTACAGATATAACCTACCTGTAACCTGGTTATGTACAGAAATTTCCTACTGGTACACCTGGTTATGTACAGATATTTCCTACTGGTACACCTGGTTATGTACAGATAATTCCTACTGGTACACCTGGTTGTGTACAGGTATTTCCTACTGGTACACCTGGTTGTTTAGAGATATTTCCTACCTATACACCTGCTTATGTACAGATATTTCCTACTGGTACACCTGGTTGTTTAGAGATATTTCCTACCTACACACCTGGTTATGTACAGGAATTTCCTACTGGTACACCTGGTTGTTTAGAGATATTTCCTACCTATACACCTGGTTATGTACAGATATTTCCTACTGGTACACCTGATTGTTTAGAGATATATCCTACCTACACACCTGGTTATGTACAGATATGTCCTTCTGGTACACCTGGTTGTTTAGAGATATATCCTACCTACACACCTGGTTATGTACAGATATTTCCTTCTGGTACACCTGGTTGTTTAGAGATATATCCTACCTACACACCTGGTTATGTACAGATATTTCCTTCTGGTACACCTGGTTGTTTAGAGATATATCCTACCTACACACCTGGTGATGTACAGATATTTCCTAAGATGAACCAAAATTGTGAATTATACAGTCCCAATATCCCCATGGGCCTGAAGGGTGTTGCCAAAAGGGTCAAATTGACTCAGATTTCAGAGGTTATTGATTTTTCCCCAGATTTTCTATTTGCAATGGTGTCAAAATGGATCACTTTATCCCTTTGTGACATGAAGCAATAACACACATTTGTGTATATGAGCTGACATTCCTTAGTTTTATGAGAAATCTCAGGCAAGTGTGGTATGTTCATTCTTGGGGATGTATAATGTTCCATATCTCTTTGACATTAATCCGAGGTGTCCTAATAAGCCCATCCACATTGTTTAGTAGACAACAACTAATATATCATTTTCCTGACTTGAGTCAATGGTGAAGTGTTGACTCCATTTTTCAGGGCTTAAAATTGGATGAGAGAGTAAGACTCAGCTCAGGAGTCCTATGAGTCTAAATAGGAAATTCACAAAAATAACTTAGGAGTAGCTAATTTCTGAGTTAAAATATTATCTACCAAATTGGTGTGTTGGTGTGTAAGTTTAATGACAATAGATTGTAAAAGTTGAACAAGATTCAACTTATAAAAAGCTGCAAAAAGGTTGAACAATACTTGGCACCAAAATCTCTCTTGAGAACTGTTGTATTCCATCCTCTTGGCATTTGTATCCTAATAGCTTTACACATTTTTTCCTTTTAAAGTCATCTGTGAATATTGATAACAGCAAACTAGTGCATTTTATTGAAAAAAATTGATTTGAAGGATGTGTATTGTGCATCGTATCACAGCTAAACATAATGTTGCAATCCTACGGCAATTGTGTGATTGTCCACATTTTACATCTCTTGTTTCTTTGTATACACCCTCCATATAAAAAATAAAGCAAAATTGTAAAGTAACTGAGGTGACAAAGACTGCATCAATAAATGAATAGAAATAGAAAAGGTAGGCTGCTGAATTTGTTTTTATCTTCTTTTATAGAATGGCTGTGACTGGAACAGAACTGGAAAATATGAAGCCATGGTTTCAAGGGAGAAATGTCTTCCTTGTCTCTGAAGAGCAAAATATAGCAGCAGTAGTGAAAAACCTTCGGAAAATACCGTTTTTATTGATGTTAGGTATGAAATTGTGTTCTTATATTTTGTGTCGTTAATCCCATATATACAGTGAAACAGGGACAAGTCAACTGGATCAAATGAAATATTTGACTTACCAGATGGTTCGACTTTGCCATGTTGCTATGAACAAAGACATTTTGCATCGAAGATTGACCCTATTTTCATCAGCTGTTTACCCGATACATGTCTCCTAGCATAGTGTGACAGTAATGAATAAATATCTTTTATCTAAATAAACAATTATAAGTACAAATATAAAACAAAATATGTAATGTGAAACACTCGACATTGAATTGAACTCAGTGAAATTGATATCCTAAGTAATACAAACACTGTATTCACATTTATGTCTTTAAGGGTAACTATGATGTATACTGTACAATGAGATTATTAAATATCTGCTGTGCATGTATTTGTGATCATTTTGATGTTTTGCCTAATTTTTAATCTGTGCCTTCATTTTTTAGGCGGGCTTGTTGATGGGCGGTTGCTCACAAAGGAAGGCATAATGACACTATCCAAATTGCCACCAATTGAGGAGCTGAGAGGGGAGCTCTGTAGCATTCTAAATATGGCTGCTGGGGGTCGCACCTTGTCCCTTCTCGATACACATCAACAGACACTGGCCACTAATCTGGACCAGTTGGTGAAACAAGGAAACACTGACCCTTCATCTGAAGAGGGTGTCAAGAACCAAAATTAGAGCGTTGTTTTGATCAATGTGTTATCAATTTGTTATAAATTATAAATCATGGAAGATTGTGCTGTACAATAATTAACCAAAGAGGATTACAGGTCAGCATTCAATCAACCATCAAAATTGCGAGCCAGTGTGTAATGAGTCAGAGAGAATTGCTGGTCAGCATTCAATCAACCATCAAAATTGCGAGCCAGTGTGTGATGAGTCAGAGAGGATTGCTGGTCAGCATTCAATCAACCATCAAAATTGCGAGTCATTGTGTGATGAGTCAGAGAGGATTGCTGGTCAGCATTCAATCAACCATCAAAATGTGATGAACCATAGAGGATTGTGGATTGACTAAGCACCTTTTACTAGGTCTCATCAGAGAAAGTTTGGATCATCATTTGTTGTCATTTGATAAATTTGGAATTGTCAATGTTGAGCACTTTTCAGTGAATAAATTTAAGTCAGACTCCTAATTCACTATTTGCTTTTAGCTATCAAGAAAGAAAACATTCATTGATCTAGCAGAAATGTTTCATTTTTCTAGCAGAAATGTATGCCAGTCCTTTTTAATATATGTCTGGGGATAAGATATTTCAGGGATCTTTTGTTTTTCATCTTTTATGGAAATTGGTATAAAATACAATGAAACACTTACATTATCACCAATAAACCTGTTTATTGACACACATTGAACAAAAACGAAACATAATTTGATAAATAGAATTAAAAAAAAAATTACATGCATACAGTAATAGAGTCAAATCAATGTTTAAATGGCATAGGCCTCATACCTTCTATAGAGGCTACAAATATCCAGATAACTATCATATCTATCAAATAGCAATCAAATTTTACACCTACTTAAATCTAAGATTATTTTAAATCGGAAATATTCCTGTGATTGACTGACAAATCCAGGTATAAAAACTTACTTTAAATCGCTAATCTGATTATATCGCTTAAATCGCTAATCTGATTATATCACTTAAATCGCTAATCTGATTATATCACTTAAATCGCTAATCTGATTATATCACTTCAATCAAGACTCTGGGCTTACAAAAATAATACTGATGGGTAATAAATAAATAAACAAATATATAACATGTGAAAAAGGAAAAAGAGTGAATCAATATTTATCACAAATACCAAACTCACAGTGCATCAGTATAAACAAATTAACAACTACAAGATGTTCCTCTAGTAATACACTTCCAAGGAACCTAACATGATAAAATAGGTTTAAAACTTGATGGAAACTACAGGCTGCATCTAGAAAGTATTTATCCTTTTCTTCTTACTTCATGAAGATTCAAAGTGCATGGTTTAATAGCCTTTTCACAGCTAAAATTAAGAAAAAAACTTCTTGAAAGACATCAGATATAATGAAATTGGATAGGAGTTCTGAGTGAGTTATCTCCCTTCATTTACAATTGGAGTAAGACATAAAGATAATTTGCAAGATATTCCGAAAAAAAAAAAAAAAAATTATCAGTACAATTATTGCACCTGGTAATAAAACTGGATATTTTATTTTGACTCAAGTATAATGGTTATTATTTTCTATAGCTTTATAATCAGAAGAAAAAGTTGATTGGACTTAAATGTTCATGTCACGATCTTATGTGTGATGAGACCACAAAATATTTTCACAGTTGAGCACATGAATATGGTAATGACTATACAATATTTAGCATGATATATCATGTTTATGAAAAAAAGCATTTCCTGGAAAAAAGAAAATAAAAAATAAAATGAAATCCATTTCCAATCAGAAGGTGTTTAAAATAAACACTGATTATGTGGTTAGATAAATTTTGATTAACATTAAATTCCAAACAGAAACCTCATTTCATGGAAATTCAGCAAAATCTTCCAATTTGCATATATTCCCTATTTTTCTGATTAATTTTCAACTGTTTAAAACAGAAAATTCCCGAAGGAAAAAAACACCCAAAAAAATGGCATTTGAATATTGTATTTTCTATTTGCTGTTTAAAACAACCAGTGGGGTAGAATTTCACCATTAAGATCTATGATTCATTATCATCAGAATGTTGTTCCAAGGTCCAGTAGGGTCTTCACCACTGACTTTGGTAGTCTGTTGACTGGAACAAAAAAAAAATCTTAACTTGTACTGCTGTAGTTATCTGTCCAATAACCCTAAAGTTGCACTGCTGTAGAGATCTGTCCAATAACCCTAAAGTTGTACTGGTGTAGTTATCTGTCCAATAAGCCTAAAGTTTTACTGGTGTAGTTATCTGTCCAATAACCATAAAGTTGTACTGCTGTAGAGATCTGTCCAATAACCCTAAAGTTGTACTGCTGTAGTTATCTGTCAAATAAACCTTAAGTTGTACTGCTGTAGTTATCTGTCCAATAACCCTAGAGTTGTACTGCTGTAGAGATCTGTCCAATAACCCTAAAGTTGTACTGCTGTAGTTATCTGTCAAATAAACCTTAAGTTGTACTGCTGTAGTTATCTGTCCAATAACCCTAAAGTTGTACTGCTGTAGTTATCTGTCAAATAAACCTTAAGTTGTACTGCTGTAGTTATCTGTCCAATAACCCTAAAGTTGTACTGCTGTAGAGATCTGTCCAATAACCCTAAAGTTGTACTGCTGTAGTTATCTGTCAAATAAACCTTAAGTTGTACTGCTGTAGTTATCTGTCCAATAACCCTAGAGTTGTACTGCTGTATTTATCTGTCCAATAACCCTAAAGTTGTACTGCTGTATTTATCTGTCCAATAACCCTAAAGTTGTACTGCTGTAGAGATCTGTCCAATAACCCTAAAGTTGTACTGCTGTAGTTATCTGTCAAATAAACCTTAAGTTGTACTGCTGTAGTTATCTGTCCAATAACCCTAAAGTTGTACTGCTGTAGTTATCTGTCAAATAAACCTTAAGTTGTACTGCTGTAGTTATCTGTCCAATAACCCTAGAGTTGTACTGCTGTATTTATCTGTCCAATAACCCTAAAGTTGTACTGCTGTATTTATCTGTCCAATAACCCTAAAGTTGTACTGCTGTAGAGATCTGTCCAATAACCCTAAAGTTGTACTGCTGTAGTTATCTGTCCAATAACCCTAAAGTTGTACTGCTGTAGAGATCTGTCCAATAACCCTAATGTTGTACTGCTGTAGATATCTGTCCAATAACCCTAAAGTTGTACTGCTGTAGTTACTTGTCCAATAACCCTAAAGTTGTACTGCTGTAGATATCTGTCCAATAACCCTAAAGTTGTACTGCTGTATTTATCTGTCCAGTAACCCAAAAGTTGTACTGCTGTAGTTATCTGTCCAGTAACCATAAAGTTGTACTGCTGTAGAGATCTGTCCAGTAACCCTAAAGTTGTACTGCCGTATTTGTCCAGTAACCCTAAAGTTGTACTGCTGTAGAGATCTGTCCAGTAACCCTAAAGATGTACTGCAGTATTTGTCTGTCCAGTAACCATAAAGTTGTACTGTTAAAGTGTTGGGACAGCGAGAGATATGTCTGAACATTATGGGAGATGTTGGGACAGTGAAAGAGATGTTAGGACATTGAGAGATGTTTGGACAGTAAAAGAGATGTTAGGACAGTGAGAAATGTTGGGACAGTGGAGAGATAATTGGACAGTTATTGAGATGTTTGGACAATGAAAGAGATGTTGGGACAATGAGAGAGATGTTGGGATAGGGAGAAATTTGTTTGGACATTTTTGGAGATGTTAGTACAATGAAAGAGATGTTAGGACAGTAAGAGAGATGTTAGGACAGTGAGAGATGCTAGGATAGTGAGAGAGATGTTGGGACGGTGAGGGAGATATTGGAACAATGAGAAATGTTTGGACAGTGAAGAAATGTTTGGTCAGTGGTTTGGTGGTGAAAGAGATGTTTGGATGGTAAGAGAGATGTTGGGACAGTAAAAGAGGTTTTGGAAGAGTGAGAGAAATGTTTGGATAGTGAAAGAGATATCAGGATGGTGACGGAGATATCGGGACGGTGATTGAGAGATATCAGGATGGTGACTGGGACAGAGATAAAAAAAATTATGCCGACTGGCAGATTTCCGCCTTTTTCATGACAAATTTGGTCATTTTTGAGATCGATGCAAATTCGATGAGAAAATTTCAAGGGTGTGGTGGTGGGGGGGGGGGGGGGGGGGGGGGGGTAGGTTTGTTTTGATGATGCATTTTATTTTTAAGCAATCTTCATCAAATCGGTTCTTAAATCCTTCGATTTACATGCCCTTATAAACTGTAAAATTAAACATCGAGCAGCAACGAGCACCGAGCTTCCGGTATTGTCAAATCGATAATACGAGGGAAGATAACTTTTACATCAGTTCAACGTATGAAAGCTATAGTTGAATAACAACAGAGATGAAAATTTTCCGCCGATCGACGGATTTCCGCCTTTTCCAATGCCAGCCATTTTCATCTCTGGGATATCAGGATGGTGATTGAGAGATATCAGAATGGTAACAGAGATATCAGGATGGTGATTGAGATATCAGGATGGTGATTGAGATATCAGGATGGTGATTGAGAGATATCAGGATGGTGATTGAGATATCAGGATGGTGACGGAGATATCAGGATGGTGATTGAGATATCAGGATGGTGACGGAGATATCAGGATGGTGACGGAGATATCAGGATGGTGACTGAGATATCAGGATGGTGACGGAGATATCAGGATGGTGACTGAGATATCAGGATAGTGACGGAAATATCGGGATGGTGATTGAGATATCAGGATGGTGACAGAGATATCAGGATGGTAACTGAGAGATATCAGGATGGTGACAGAGATATCAGGATGGTGACAGAGATATCAGGATGGTGATTGAGATATCAGGATGGTGACAGAGATATCAGGATGGTGATTGAGATATCAGGATGGTGACGGAGATATCAGGATGGTGACAGAGATATCAGGATGGTAACTGAGAGATATCAGGATGGTGACAGAGATATCAGAATGGTGACTGAGAGATATCAGGATGGTGACAGAGATATCAGGATGGTGATTGAGATATCAGGATGGTGATTGAGAGATATCAGGATGGTGATTGAGATATCAGGATGGTGACGGAGATATTAGGATGGTGACTGAGATATCAGAATGGTGACAGAGATATCAGGATGGTGATTGAGATATCAGGATGGTGATTGAGATATCAGGATGGTAACAGAGATATCAGGATGGTGACAGAGATATCAGGATGGTGATTGAGATATCAGGATGGAGATTTTAAAGACACGTGATGTTTTAAGATACACGCTTATAATATGTTTGTCCCTAAAACATTGGACTGGACCTCTCCTGGTCCATCTAGTAGACAAACCACAGATAAAATAACATTTTTGAGAAAAACTGGCGATAGCTGAGAAAGTTGAAATATCACATTATCCAATGATATAGTGTAACTTACATTAAATCTTTTGGGCAATTTAGCCGAATATTCTACATTTTGTTGTTGTCTTAAATCTTCTCTTCTTTGCCTACAAAGTAATTAAAATACAAATATCAGCATCACCAACAAATATTTAAGCAAGGTGATTCAAGCGTCATTCAAACAGTAATTGTCTCACATAGGCAAGGTACAAAATAATTGACCTATCTGAAGGGGTCATGACCTCTATATACACATTGACTGATCAAGACATATCAACTTCACCGTTTATCTTTAAGGGGTCATGACACCTGTATACTAATTCACTGTGACTGTCCTGTCTGTAGATAAGGAGACATGACTTCTGTATACAAATTCACTGTGAACTGACCTGTCTGTAGATAAGGGGTCATGATCTCTGTATACTAATTCACTGTAGACTGACCTGTCTGTAGATAAGGGGTCAAGACCTCTGTATAAAAATTGATTGTGGACTGACCTGTCTGCAGATAAGGGGTCATGATCTCTGTATACAATTCACTGTGGACAGACCTGTCTGTAGATAAGGGGTCAAGACCTCTGTATAAAAATTGATTGTGGACTGACCTGTCTGCAGATAAGGGGTCATGATCTCTGTATACAATTCACTGTGGACAGACCTGTCTGTAGATAAGGGGTCATGATCTCTATACAAATTCACTGTGACTGACCTGTCTGTAAATAAGGGGTCATGATCTCTATACTAATTCACTGTAGACTGACCTGTCTGTAGATAAGGGGTCAAGACCTCTGTATAAAAATTGATTGTGGACTGACCTGTCTGCAGATAAGGGGTCATGATCTCTGTATACAAATTCACTGTGGACTGACCTGTCTGTAGATAAGGGGTCATGACATCTATATACTAATTCACTGTAGACTGACCTGTCTGTAGATAAGGGGTCATGACCATGACATCTGTATACAAATTCACTGTGACTGACCTGTCTGTAGATAAGGGGTCATGATCTCTATACAAATTCACTGTGGACTGACCTGACTGTAGATAAGGGGTCATGACCTCTGTATACTAATTCACTGTAGACTGACCTGTCTGTAGATAAGGGGTCATGACTATGACATCTGTATACAAATTCACTGTGACTGACCTGTCTGTAGATAAGGGGTCATGATCTCTATACAAATTCACTGTGGACTGACCTGACTGTAGATAAGGGGTCATGACCTCTGTATACTAATTCACTGTAGACTGACCTGTCTGTAGATAAGGGGTCATGACTATGACATCTGTATACAAATTCACTGTGACTGACCTGTCTGTAGATAAGGGGTCATGATCTCTATACAAATTCACTGTGGACTGACCTGTCTGTAGATAAGGGGTCATGACATCTATATACTAATTCACTGTAGACTGACCTGTCTGTAGATAAGGGGTCATGACCATGACATCTGTATACAAATTCACTGTGACTGACCTGTCTGTAGATAAGGGGTCATGATCTCTATACAAATTCACTGTGGACTGACCTGACTGTAGATAAGGGGTCATGACCTCTGTATACTAATTCACTGTAGACTGACCTGTCTGTAGATAAGGGGTCATGACTATGACATCTGTATACAAATTCACTGTGACTGACCTGTCTGTAGATAAGGGGTCATGATCTCTATACAAATTCACTGTGGACTGACCTGACTGTAGATAAGGGGTCATGACCTCTGTATACTAATTCACTGTGACTGACTTGCCTGTAGATAAGGGGTCATGACCTCTGTATAAAAATTGATTGTAGACTGACCTGTCTGTAGATAAGGGGTCATGACATCTGTATACTAATTCACTGTAGACTGACCTGTCTGTAGATAAGGGGTCATGACCATGACATCTGCATACAAATTCACTGTAGACTGACCTGTCTGTAGATAAGGGGTCATGATCTCTGTATAAAAATTGATTGTGGACTGACCTGTCTGTAGATAAGGGGTCATGACATCTGTATACTAATTCACTGTAGACTGACCTGTCTGTAGATAAGGGGTCATGACATCTGTATACTAATTCACTGTGGACTGACCTGACTGTAGATAAGGAGACATGACCTCTGTATACTAATTCACTGTAGACTGACCTGTCTGTAGATAAGGGGTCATGACATCTGTATACTAATTCACTGTAGACTGACCTGTCTGTAGATAAGGGGTCATGACCATGACATCTGTATACAAATTCACTGTGACTGACCTGTCTGTAGATAAGGGGTCATGACATCTGTATACTAATTCACTGTAGACTGACCTGTCTGTAGATAAGGGGTCATGACCATGACATCTGTATACAAATTCACTGTGACTGACCTGTCTGTAGATAAGGGGTCATGATCTCTATACAAATTCACTGTGGACTGACCTGACTGTAGATAAGGGGTCATGACCTCTGTATAAAAATTGATTGTGGACTGACCTGTCTGTAGATAAGGGGTCATGACATCTGTATACTAATTCACTGTAGACTGACCTGTCTGTAGATAAGGGGTCATGACCATGACATCTGTATACAAATTCACTGTGACTGACCTGTCTGTAGATAAGGGGTCATGATCTCTATACAAATTCACTGTGGACTGACCTGACTGTAGATAAGGGGTCATGACCTCTGTATACTAATTCACTGTGACTGACTTGCCTGTAGATAAGGGGTCATGACTTTTGTATAGAAATTGATTGTGGACTGACCTGTCTGTAGATAAGGGGTCATGATCTCTGTATACTAATTCATTGTAGACTGACCTGTCTGTATAGAAGGGGTCATGATCTCTGTATACTAATTCATTGTAGACTGACCTGTCTGTAGATAAGGGGTCATGATCTCTGTATAAAAATTGATTGTGAACTGACTTGCCTGTAGATTGGGGGTCATGACTTCTGTATAAAAATTGATTGTGGACTGACCTTTCTGTAGATAAGGGGTCATGACCTCTGTATACTAATTCACTGTGGACTGACCTGTCTGTAGAGAAGGGGTCATGATCTCTGTATACTAATTCACTGTAGACTGACCTGTCTGTAAATAAGGGGTCATGATCTCTATACAAATTCACTGTGGACTGACCTGTCTGTAGATAAGGAGACATGACCTCTGTATACAAATTCACTGTGGACTGACCTGTCTGTAGATAAGGAGACATGACCTCTGTATACAAATTCACTGTGGACTGACCTAACTGTAGATAAGGGGTCATGACCTCTGTATACTAATTCACTGTGACTGACCTGTCTGTATATAAGGAGACATGATCCCTATACAAATTCACTATGGACTGACCTGTTTGTAGATAAGGGGTCATGACCCTTGTATACTAATTCACTGTGACTGACCTGTCTGTAGATAAGGAGACATGATCTCTATACAAATTAACTGTGGACTGACCTGTCTGTAGATAAGGGGTCATGATCTCTATACAAATTCACTGTGGACTGACCTGACTGTAGATAAGGAGACATGACCTCTGTATACAAATTCACTGTGGACTGACCTGTCTGTAGATAAGGGTTCATGACCCCTGTATACTAATTCACTGTGACTGACCTGTCTGTAGATAAGGAGACATGATCTCTATAGAAATTCACTGTGGACTGACCTGTCTGTAGATAAGGGGTCATGATCTCTACAAATTCACTGTGGACTGACCTGACTGTAGATAAGGGGTCATGACCACTCTATACTAATTCACTTTGACTGACCTGTTTGTAGATAAGGGGTTATGATCTCTCTATACAAATTCACTGTGGACTGACCTGACTGTAGATAAGGAGACATGACCTCTGTATGCAAATTCACTGTGGACTGACCTGACTGTAGATAAGGAGACATGACCTCTGTATACAAATTCATTGTGGACTGACCTGTCTGTAGATAAGGGGTCATGACATCTGTATACAAATTCACTGTGGACTGACCTGTCTGTAGATAAGGAGACATGACCTCTGTATACAAATTCACTGTGGACTGACCTGACTGTAGATAAGGAGACATGACCTCTGTATACAAATTCATTGTGGACTGGCCTGTCTGTAGATAAGGAGACATGACCTCTGTATACAAATTCACTGTGGACTGACCTGTCTGTAGATAAGGGGTTATGATCTCTGTATACTAATTCACTGTGGACTGACCTGTCTGTAGATAAGGGGTCATGACCTAAGCCTGATGTGTCTCCAGGAGGACTTCCCAATTTTCTGAGATGAACTAGCTCTGTCTCGTAAGAACCTTGAGGAGCCTGCATCAGCTGACAGTCATCACGCTCATTGTCTTTCAGTATCATCATCTAAAGAGTGGAGAGGTAATCATGTGAAAACTTAAATAAGGGAAAACTATAGAGTGTTATATTGTCTAGATATCAGAGAGCCAACCTCTCCAAAAATATCATTTGTGAAGCAGTAAAATGTTGTACAATAACAATTAAAAAAAAAATTAATCTGTAAGGTTACTTTTAAGAATTAAAAGATTAAATATCTACTGCTGTTGGTTTGCTGGGCTCTAAATGACTTTTGAGTTGTACGAATTATACATATATTTGTTGTGTTTTGTTTTCATAAATTAAAATTCTTAATCATTTATTATCATATGGTAAACTTCTTTCCATTAATGTGTCATCACTGCTATATAGTGATGAATGACTGGTGTAATTTTTACTATAAACAAAACAAATCAATTTTTCAAATAATTCCGGCGATTTTTTTTAACCAAATAAAAACTATTGTCAGTAAAGACTATATTCACATATAATACTTTTTGTGATTTATTTATTTATTTGTCTATTTATTTATTTATTTATTTTGATATGTACTATAAAAAAAAAGAATCAACTCAAACTTGTTGCACTTACAAGACAGAATGACAATTGAAGTCTGGCTGCTTACAGAATTTGGCAGCTAAATCTCTAACTAAGCAGGAGGATAGACTTGTGCCAAGATAAATGTCGTGCAATATTGATAAATGGATATCACTGACACAGATCTTGATAATCTGTCTTACACAGTACGATATCAATCTGGGTCATTATGCACTGTTTAAAACAATACCTGAAAATCCTCAGAGTTCAAATCATAGTATTAAAGACCGAGAGGCAAACCTGAGTAAGAAAAACAACAGTTCATTCGACATGTGTAAGTTTTACTGACACATTCATCTCAAAATCTGAAAACAATCAAGGTTTTCATGTTAAAGGCAATTTCTGCTATGAATTACTGACCAGGATTTGTATGATTTCATAATGAATACCTGTCAATGTTCTACACTTTACATAGGAGAAAAAAAGCATGAAAAATATTTCAAAAACTATTAATATCTTTAAAACCAAATAACTGTGATATATGGGAGTAAAAAAGTGCTGTAGCATGCTGGATTTAACAAGTATTGATCTGAAAGCAAAAGAGATAAAAAAATCTTTCAATGAAACAATTTTGAAACAAGAATTTAAGACTTAAAGACTTACAAAAACAGGAATTTCATTAAATTTCTACCTGCATTTTAATGTTAAATGTGAATGATATACTAGATGTTAAAACCCTATTGTGAAGTATTCACTGACATATAATTCTAAATATAAACCACTTTGTATTAATATCCAACCAGTAATTAATCAAAGCCAGACAATCAATAAAAGACATCAGGGGAGCGATCAGCCCACCATTGTTAGCTTTACTTTGTTTTCAAATAATTCAGTATGAACTTCATATGGTAGATTCAACTTTGTAAAAAAAAAAAAATAAATAAATGATTTATTTATCGTCATGAATACATAAAAACATTCAACAATTTTGGAATTTATTTTTAAAATATTTTGATAAACATGAAATTAGACCTGTTGGTTGATCAGTCAAGTGACAATGAAAAATTATTCCTACCTCAATGTAGAGATTTACAATTCAAACCTGATATGATAACCGTGGTTTGATTTTAACCTTCATTGAAGCTTGAGATGTGTAGTTTGTTCATCTGTACTCTAAGGTCTACATATTTTGTTCTGTAGAATTCATTCATGATTGATTCTAATTTTTCATTAATAAAATTACTGTTTAAACTGGAATAATATCATCGTAACAGTATTCAGCTCAGCCAATATTTCAGGAATGTAGTGCAGGAATATTGATATACATATGTCATACCCTGACTTACACTGAACGAGACATAATGACACACTGTACTGGAATCAGTCAATAAAGCTGTGAGAATTTGTACAAATTTGGGGACTACAAACTGGAATTCAATAAAAGAACAATAGATCCATATGCTCTGTGTCGCTCACCTTGATTTGTTCAACTTTAACAATATATATATATATCTTACATTACAACCTTATAGTAAGAGTTTATATCTTCATGTAGATCCTGTATGTTTGACTGTAGATATTTGAATAGAGTTTGGTATTGTCCATGAAAAAATTAATGCAATTTCTGGAATAATACAAGGAGTCACAAGAAGTCAAAAAATTTTATAGTAACAGAAAAAAGATGAATAATAAAATGTCCTCAATAAGAAAAGGCACAACTAGTGCACTAACCTTTTATATATAGAAAGTTTTGTAGAATTTAATGGAACAGTTTTTAAGTTGTAGGCTGGAAAAGAAAGTTAACAATTTTGTGTTTTTTAGCTGTAAATATAAAATATAAAAATTGAAATGTTGTCACCAGCAAAAGGCACAACTAGGGCACTAACCTAATATATACAGTGAAATGGTTTTGAAGTTGTAGCCTAAAAAGGAAAGTAAACACTAATTTTGTGCTTTTTGGTTGTTACCATGGTAACAATAAAAATATGAAAAATAGAATGTCATCAATAGCAAAATGCACAACTAGAGCACTAACTTAATATATACAGCAAGTTTTGTGATGTTGAGTTGAACAATTTTGAAGTTATAGCCCGGAAAAAAATGCCTGGCAGCCCAAATTAATATTTCCAACAAACACTTTTCATCAGGGATAACAACAAGAAAGAAATGAAATGGTATTTTTTTTTATAGACCCTGTGAATTTTTCTAAAACACGATGACATGTTATAAGAGCAAATTCTATTTTACATCTTAAAACTATCTTCTGATTATAGAAGTTCAGGAACAGACAAAGCTTAAAGACAAATTCAAAGCTTATTGTTTAATTTTGGAAAACAGACATATATTCAGGAGACATTTGTTTTCAAAAAGGACTTGAGTTTGGAAAAATAAAAAAAAAAATCTCATTAAAACAAATACTGACATGCAGTGTACATATATATGTACATGTCTCAACAGTATTGTACTCCTGGACAGGAGCCCCCAGTGTGATGATGGTGTGACTAGTTATGATTAAATGTATTAATTATACATGTATGTATATGTATTTCAGTAGAAATATCTCCTGCTGCTCTGATGACAGATCAATACATTACATTGTTTTTGTTGAAGTGAAGGTGGCATCAGAAAAGCAACATTGTTGTAATGAACTGCATGCTTTTTTGACAATACTAGGTGTAAGAAAATTAAGAACATGGACATGAAAATGTACCATAACCCCTTAAAGCTACCATAACCCTTTAAAACTACCATCACCAACACTTATCCAGTATTAAGCATCACCAATAACAACTCTACAATCAATTTCACATGAAATTTACATGATGATTGACACCTGAATGGGTCACAGTCAGGTCTGATCAATTTTATTAATGGACCTGAACAGGCTGCTTGAAGGCAGAATAATCAAAGACATAGTTCAGTTAGAAAGTAAACACTGGTAAATGTCGTTCTTCTATCTAATGCAAAGTCTATAATATTGAGAGTTAAATGTATTCGAAAAAGTTACATATCAGAACAACACACTGCTTACCAAGGTATAACATAAAAACAGCCCCTCACCCCATCCCTTTTTCAAGTAAAATTGATCAGACCTGAAAATTATGCTTTAGGTATTATTACTCCGGACGAGAAACTCTGTACATGAACACATATTCTTACTAAAGATGGAGAGCGATGTAACAACGATGTTGAACTTCTCTGAAAACAAAGTCGGTGTTGACGATATCAAATATATTATACACATATGTGTAACATGGAAAACTTTGAAAAGAAAGTTGATGAATAAGCCTAGGCTGTCTGGAAATAAGGTTTTAAGCGTTTAGAAGTGATAATAAGTTTTCTCTAACAGATTTTATAATGTATGATCAACTTCGGGTCTTTTTTGTGATCTGAGAAGCAATGCCATATTTCAGATATTCTAAAATGTTGCTAACTCTGGAGGTGACAAAATATAGCAGTTAAAAGTGAAACAGGCAGTCATACACTGTCTAACTTATCTATGACCTTTTTTAGTGAGGACTAGGGACACCAGACTACCATATTCAACCTGTAAGTGGACTAGCAACTTATAGGTCTTTTGCTTGATGTTGGAAAATAAAATTTTAAGATTGTGCCTCAGGAAGCCTAGGATGATATCAGCTCTTCTAAGTAAGTGATGCAATGATGTCCCACTTTATGTTTATGCTGACCCCAAGATAATTGGCCTCTCCATCACATGCTCCGTGATCCGAAGATAACTGACCTTTCCATCACATGTTCCATTTCTTGGCCATGGAGTGACATGCAAAAATAATTGATAACATGTCTCTTCCTGGTGGAAGACAGGACCTGACATTTTCCTCGGATAGAAACCTTTTTCCTTTTTTTTATTTATTAATTTTTTTTTATATAACAAAAATACTTAGCTTAAGGTCTTACTAAAATCTAGAAGTAAAATATCTTTTTGTTTACCTTCTGAGTTATTTCAATAAATTCTATAAATTAAATATAGACACCATTTACTTTACAACTATTGGGAAACAAGCAATTAGCTTATATTAATCACTCTTGTTGGCCCATACAGAAGCATGAGAGCGTCGTTCTGTGGGAGGAAACCAAAGTACCCAAGGGAAAACCCACTTGGTCAGACAGGTGACCTCATACCTTTTCACATCCGCTCTGTGAATCAAACCCTGAACGGCTAGGTGAAAGGTGGGTGACTTACCACTGAGCCACCCAAACATCCATGATTCTATCAAATGACTCTCACAAAACTATATGAAACTGTATTGTAAGGATGTTGTTGGCATGATTTATATTGTGGCTTATTATGATACATTCTAGCAACTTACAATAAATACAAGTGAGAGATTAATGATATGGTCATTTTCAGAGTTAAATACTTAGCTTCTTTTGACACAGTGTTAGCAGTCAAGGGGGACATAAGACAGGGCAGAGAATGGGAGAAAGTTCCCTCACCAGCTCCTTAAGTATCTTTAACTCTAAATGACCTGGGCAAACTACTTTGGTGGTGTCAAGCATCCGTTAGATGTCTACATCTTCACGTTAATCATTCTCCTTCAACTAAAGATTTTGTCAATAAAATTGGTGTGTGATAAATACAGGGACGAAAAAAAAATTGTTACACTGAAGTTAGGTTGTGAAGCCTCTAAGAAAGTCAGCTGTGAAAAGATCTGCTGAAAGTTTGCACCATTCACCATTTTTTATGGTAGGAGAAAGGATGAGAGAATCAAAAAATGGGCATTGTTGTGTCTCTCGGATAAACGTGGCCAATACCATGTTACTAACACTACAAGTATGGTAGTATCTTTTAATAACAGATGTTTAGCATTTTCAGGTGGTATTTCACATCTGGTATTGTTGAGAAAATCTGTCTGAGCTAATGTTGTCAGCACTGGTGAAAGCAGACAAAACTGGATTCTATAATATGTTGGCCTCATCCATATACAACTGTATAGGGCCTGATACCGTTGTTAATGAGCAAGTTTGGAGAATACAAAACTTATGTTGTTCGTTAAATTTTGATCAATTTATTGATTGACTTTAGCATGGTCTAAAGAATGCATGCAACCCCCAATGTATCTATCAGCATCAAACTGACATTATGAAAGCATTGACTAATGGATAAATGGCCTGGCCCCAGTCCAAGCATATATAACCAATATGTCTTATAATTGTTGTAACGTTCCGATGAATATATGATCGTTTGTAAAGAGTATCGACTTACGCGAACAAAAGCCTTTCTCTCGTATTGGTTTTGTCGTCGTCTCGCCTCATGATGCTCGTTGATTCCTGAACAAGCCATCTTTAAGAGTAAATCCTACAGCTCCAATGAGCCTCCCGACTGTATCAAACGATTCAACCAACTGTAAAAATACAACAGGAATTAGAATTGTCAAGATCGCAGGCGGAAACAGTTGACATCTGATATTGCAACATCGTGAAAGTGATTATAATAATGCACTTCATATGAAACTTCTATGAAAATCGGACGTAAACTTTCGTGTTGACAACTAATTTCGATAACAATACAAACCTTCAGTACTGGATGAATTGTAAAAGAAATTATCGATTCACTTCTTAGGCAAACCTTTCGTTGCCTAGCACGCGGAACTGGATGACCTATGACCTAAAACAAAACTATGTAGTTATTACCTTATCTATCAAAAGAGTTCCGAATTAGGGGAAGTAATGAAAGCTATTAATGGCGTCAAATTTGGATTTTTTTTCATATAATTTGAAGAGATAATTTCAGTAAAATTGTTTCTAGTTTGCGCTTTATAGACATTATTAAAACGTTGCAATTGGAACTGACGATTGTAAGTAGATGTAAACTCCATTCCGTTTTAATATAGATCAATAAAAAAAGAAAAATAGACCACGATTTCAAGATCTTTAGCAAGTGTCATTCCTCTTACAAACCGTATATAATGTGGCTTGCAGCATAATCGCAAGCAGACATTCGCGTGCTTTACTCCTTAAGCTCTACCTTGTCAACACCAGCTATTCCAGCCCGTACTGTGTGCACTCTTTGTTCCGAGCCCGTCAATGACGTATTTTCTCACCTCTGCTGTTCCTGTGGTAATACCAATGAGCTGCGTAGAAGTTATTATTATTATTATTATTATTATTATTATTATGTTTATTCAGGCAAAGACATAATAAAATTACACATTACAAATATCACATTACATAAGCAACTCAATAATAATTAAAATCAGTAATAAATTAATGTGGATTTCTTAAAATTATTAATTATAAAATATAAAATATCACAGAAGAATTTCACATACCTTAAAATATCACAGTTTAAACTAGTATCGCAGAAATTAAATTACACTGTGCTTGCAAATCGTCTAAGTAAAATAGTTGAAAATTTTAGAAATATCAATAAAAAAGAGAGAAATTTGATAAAACCAGATGAAAATGCCTTTGGCCTTGGATTACCCATAAAGCCTATAAAATAGGCTTATTTCCAATGGGGTCCATTTAAGGTGTAATCATTCCGGTTGAGATGTAAAGCCATGGAAAATGAGATTGAATTAATTTTCGCAGCATTAACTATAAATGAAACAGAGCACTATATTTGAAAGAAAATTACATTTACATAGAAGATATGAAAACAAATACTGAAAGTGAATAAAATGTTTTGGCACATTTCAGGGCATTTATGAAAAAGGATGGGATTTGAAGAGATATTATATAAATTTAATAATATAATATGAACAATAATATAACATAATATGTACAATAATATAACATCACTACCCGTTCAACCAGACGCAAAGAAGTGGAGGTTGAGCTCAATAGTAGACGAAGGGGTTGTCAAATTCGCCTTTTGATTGTAGCATCAGAAATTGTTTTACTTTGTTTTTAAAATGATATTTATTTTTAGAATTTTTAATATTTTCTGGAAGGGAATTCCAATCTTTTGTGGCCGAAGTAGAAAAGGAAGAACTTTCTATGCTTTTTACGTTTTTTATTGAGAAACTCATCGTTCCAGATCTAGTACCAAAACAGTTTTTGTTTAGAGAGAAAAGTTCATATAAATATTGTGGACATTTACCATTATAGATGTTAAAAGTATGGTTGAGGCGAAGTTGACGGACCCTTCGTTCTAGTTTTTCTAATTCAGTGACAGTGATCCTTGTTCTGTTATCAAAGTTAAGAATAAAGCGGACCATTTTGTTTTAGGTAGTCTGGAGTATACCTTTGAGTTTCTTAGTAATTCCTTCATACCAGGAGGAGCACGCATTATCAAAGTGGCACTGAATCAGAGCAGAACATAAAGTTTTACGAGATTTTAGAGATAGACATTTACTATTTCTGTTAAAAAATTTAAGTCTTTGGTTGATTTTTTGGATAATGTTGGAGACAATTTCCTCTCCAGATAGAAATTTATTTATCGTAACACCGAGGTATTTTACTGAAGATTGCGAAACAATGTTTTGACCGTTACATGAAATTTTGAAATCATCCTCGGGTACTTGTCCTAATTTTCTCTTTGGTCCAAATAAAATACTTTCTGTTTTACCTAAATGTAATGATAATTTGTTGTCAACGAGCCAATCATGACATGATTCCAAAACTAAGGATAATTTTGAAGAGATTGTTTTGGGACAGTGATGTTTTCTACAGGAAGTCCTCTCAGACTTTGGTCCATTTATGTACCGACCAATTTTGTTAATACGCTTTTAGGCCTGACCTCAGGCCTCCAGCTGCAAGATGCTGCTGTCCAGAAACTTTTTCTGATGAAAGCAGCAAGATTCGTTGTAAGTGCTACGCGCTCCTTAGCTTAATTATTCTTATTTTTTTTGACGTTTCCACGCGATATTCAGGATTTACATTGGTAAATCCTCTACTTCCACGCGGTAATTGAACTGTTTCTGTTTATATATACCAATATTTCCTTTGGGAGGAAATAAATTTTGATGATGATGATATTACTGAAATATTCATGCAAGAAGATGGAAGGACCTTTCTTTCTCTTCATTCTTTCTTATCGTCAGTATTATTTTCATTTTATTATTTATTTATTTATTTATTTATCTGTCTATTTTTTTTTTTGTTAATTTGTATGGAATGTAATGAAGGATAAAGAGTCTGTTATAATTTTTTAAGCAAGCTGAATTGTGATTTTCTGGAAACATGAAATTTTATTTAAGTTCAAATGTAATGAAAATATTTTTCTGATACCCACCGTAACATATAGATTCCGTATTTCTTGGAGTGCAATAGCAAATTTCCCAAGTGCTTTCGCTTATAAACATGCAGGATAGCTCCCCTGATTGTCGATTATCTCTGTCACCGCATTTTTTGACATTCGGTGTGTCAAGGCTAGGTTCGTGGCCAGGGCGTGGGATTTTGGCAGGCGGAGCAAGGGAAGCTGGTCACTGTTGTATCCTTCAGTTTCATCTGGGATGAATATACAGTGGACATGTCCAAAAATATGAGACTGAAGATCAAGTTTAGTTGAGGATCGACCATACAGCAGATACTTAAGTTATTATGCTTTGGTTAATTATTTGTGCGCGCGTGTATGTAATCACAGCTCTCTGTTGATTGGTCGGTATAAGTAAATCAAATGTAGATTGCAAGGGACCTGGATACATCTCCATAGGATTACATACATGATTTTGAACATAAAATATTGTTTATTTTTTTTAACTTTCACAAGAGAGATCATTGCCAACTTCACTTTCCATAGTATATTTGTAAAAAAAAATACTACAGGTCGCCAAGCTGTTGTTACCCAGTCATACCCTGTTGTCGCCCAGTCATACCCTGTTGTCGCCCAGTCATACCCTGTTGTCGCCCAGTCATACCCTGTTGTCGCCCAGTCATACCCTGTGGTCGCCCAGTCATAGCCAGTGATCGCCCAATCATACCCTGTTGTCGCCCATTCATGCTCTCTAGTCGCCCTGACATACCCTGTTGTCGCCCAGGATGCTTGTCAGCACACCTGTTACGTGTGTGATACACTGGACGTGTTTGATGCTCGACAGCACACCTGTTACGTGTGTGTGACATTGGACGTGTTTGATGCTCGTCAGCACATCTGTTACTGTTGTCGTTAGTCGCCCAGTGATACACTGTGTGTTTGATGCTCGTCATACACCTGTTACGTGTGTGATACGACGTGTTTGATGCTCGTCAGCACACCTGTTACGTGTGTGATACACTGGACGTGTTTGATGCTCGTCAGCACACCTGTTACGTGTGTGATACACTGAACGTGTTTGATGCTCGTCAGCACACCTGTTACGTGTGTGATACACTGGACGTGTTTGATGCTTGTCAGCACACCTGTTACGTGTGTGATACACTGGACGTGTTTGATGCTCGTCAGCACACCTGTTACGAGTAGGATACACAGGACGTGTTTGATGCTCTGCAGCACACCTGTTACGTGTGTGATACACTGGACGTGTTTGATGCTCGTCAGCACACCTGTTACGTGTGTGATACACTGGACGTGTTTGATGCTGTTGTTACGTGTGTGATACACTGCACGTGTTTGATGCTCGTCAGCACACCTGGACGTGTTTGATGCTCGTCAGCACACCTGTTACGTGTGTGATACACTGGACGTGTTTGATGCTCGTCAGCACACCTGTTACGTGTGTGTGATACACTGGACGTGTTTGATGCTCGTCAGCACACCTGTTACGTGTGTGATACACTGGACGTGTTTGATGCTCGTCAGCACACCTGTTACGTGTGTGATACACTGGACGTGTTTGATGCTCGTCAGCACACCTGTTACGTGTGTGATACACTGGACGTGTTTGATGCTCGTCAGCACACCTGTTACGTGTGTGATACACTGGACGTGTTTGATGCTTGTCAGCACACCTGTTACGTGTGTGATACACTGGACGTGTTTGATGCTCGTCAGCACACCTGTTACGTGTGTGATACACTGGACGTGTTTGATGCTCGTCAGCACACCTGTTACGTGTGTGATACACTGGACGTGTTTGATGCTCGTCAGCACACCTGTTACGTGTGTGATACACTGGACGTGTTTGATGCTCGTCAGCACACCTGTTACGTGTGTGTTTGATACACCTGTTACGTGTGTGATACACTGGACGTGTTTGATGCTCGTCAGCACACCTGTTACGTGTGTGATACACTGGACGTGTTTGATGCTCGTCAGCACACCTGTTACGTGTGTGATACACTGGACGTGTTTGACTGTCAGCACACCTGTTACGTGTGTGATACACTGGACGTGTTTGATGCTCGTCAGCACACCTGTTACGTGTGTGATACACTGGACGTGTTTGATGCTCGTCAGCACACCTGTTACGTGTGTGATACACTGGACGTGTTTGATGCTCGTCAGCACACCTGTTACGTGTGTGATACACTGGACGTGTTTGATGCTCGTCAGCACACCTGTTACGTGTGTGATACACTGGACGTGTTTGATGCTCGTCAGCACACCTGTTACGTGTGTGATACACTGGACGTGTTTGATGCTCGTCAGCACACCTGTTACGTGTGTGATACACTGGACGTGTTTGATGCTCGTCAGCACACCTGTTACGTGTGTGATACACTGGACG